AAATAATTATGTATAAAAGGATGGTCTCGAAGAGCTAATCGTCACCATTTTAGAAGTCGAGGGTTAAAAGCGTAATTTTCGGACTCAGTTTATAATTATTTATGAGGATAGTATGTGGTAATTATTTTGAATTTAATTTAAAAGGAGATGAGGTGGAAGGGTGATTATGTCATAATTAAGATATAGGGGCTGTTTGGTAAGTTTTGTACCTAGGTTGCAATGGATTTTAATGTTGGGGTTTAAAGGGTAAATATGGGATTTACATTGTAATTATTTCTGGATGGAGGGGCTAAACATGGAATTATGAAAAGAAGTTATGGGGATCAGGGTATATAAACCCGTCACCCCCAGTAACCCTAACCCTAGCCTCATTGTACAGCCGCCAACTTCCTCGACACTATCCTTCACCCTCATCGACGTTGCACCAACCATCTCCATCGATTCCGATCGCCGCCGTCACCATAGAAGCCTCTCAACAGCCGAGGGCATCACCAGGCTCGATAGTTATCGTCATCGCCTACTGCTGCGTCGAAGAAGGCCACGGCAGTTACGCCGTGTATGGCCGGAGATGGCCTGTAACCGCTACCCGTTTTGGAACTTGTCTTGCTGCCAACGTTCTTTTCTTTTCCCTTCCGCTCCATCCGCCGCCAAGGGCGTGCTTCTATTGCTCCGGTCATGGTCGCCACCCCAAAGGGCTATCGAGTTTGTGTGGGTTATCACCTATCAAGTTGGGGTGAGTTTCCTTGTATGCCTGCTTGCTGTTGGCCAGAAAAGCGTGGGAACCACCATAGCAGCCGCCATGGCGACTATCACCTTGCTACCGTTGCCTTATGCCACAAAGTTGGTGGTTGGCTTCCCTCTCCGAGTTAATGAATGAAGAAGTGCATGTTTCAGTCGATGTGTGCGTGGGTGTATGGCAGGAATCCTCGGAAAAGGCATTACCACCACCATAGGGTGGTGGCTGCCACCATCTGCCGCCGCCGTCCACCACAAGGTGGCTGCGTGTGTGTGTGTGTGTATTTGTTTAGTGTGTTATATTGATGTTTAGCATTGTATATTGTAAATCACAACGTGGAATAATGAGAAAGTAATTCGAAACCACCACCGTGAGGTGGTGGCTGCCGCCTCCTGCCGCTATCGGCCGCCGTGTCGGGTGGTGGTGTGCTTTGATGGTGTTTTGACTCGTTTGGATAATTGGACAAGGGACCAAGAAACCCTAATGGGCCCAATGAGGCTTAATGGACTTAATGAGCCCTAATGGGCCCAATAATGCTTAATGGACCCAAAAGCCCAAACATGTGACTAATAGGTGTAATAAACCCTAATTGGTCAAGGAAAACCCTAATGGGCTTAATGATATTTTAGTGTGCTTAATAGGCCCAATAAATCCCTAATTGATCTAAAAGCCCAACAAATTAATTATTGGACTAGTATTGGGTTGGAAACCTTATTTAGGGTTTGGAAAACCCTAATGCCAATAAAACCTTAATTTGAGGAATTAATCGAGACACTCGGGAATTATTAATAACTTGAAATATTAAATAATGAGCATTGGCAAGATTAATCTAAGCGATATTGGACTTAATGGATTAAGTCCTTAGAGGATTAAGTCTTATTGGGTTAAGTAGGAAACCTAACCCTAATTGTCATTTTATGTGAAACCCTAATTTCATTTGGGTATATTATTGGGCCTTTATGTTGAGCCTAAATGATTGAGATAATAATGGGCCATCCAAAGTCAAGCCAATGAACTAGAATAATTTAATGGGCCTGGGGTAAGGCCCGTGTAAGGGGCGTGGGCCCAATTTGGAAAATCGGGCCTTAGATGGGCCATAGTTTGGGCCTTAATGATTATATGGTGTTAGGCCTTAGAATGAGACCATGTTTAGGCCTAGGCCCAATTTGGAAAGTTGGGCCATGTGTTAGGCTTTGATTTCTAATTGACTTTGGGCCTATAGATTGGGCCTTGGGCTTGAATAAGCCAAGCTAGGGGTAATGTAGTAATTACCCAAAGAATGTACGTATGTTTATCTATTGGGACCTAATTATTAATTGGGTGTTATTTTGGTGTTGACAGTTCGAGAATCTTTCAGCCAGCAGCTGGGGTTGAGTCTACGGGATTTCAGCAATGTGGGATTGTGTCTACGGGACGTCAGCAGTGTGAGGTGAGTTTCCTTCCAGTAGTAACGGGTCTAAGGCACGAAGGCCAGCCCGTATAGACGAGACATTAGTATTAGAGTGTGGGGCAAGCCCGTATCTCTTAGTTGAGTTGATTATGATATATGCCAGTATGATATAGTTGTCTATACTTGTTGTCTCTGTGATACTTGTATGATATGAGTTGGCGGTTGAGTGTGGGCAAGGCCCGTATATCTCCGAGAGTGGAGTGTGGGCTAGGCCCATATCTCCCAGATAATGAAGTGTGGGCAGGGCCCGTATCTTCACGAGTGTGGGCGTGGTCCGTATCTCCCAGAAAGCGAAGTGTGGGTAGGGCCCGTATCTTCACGAGTGTGGGTGTGGCCCGTATCTCCTAGTTGAATGTTGTATGTTATATGCTTGCATGGTATGAGGTATGATGGGGGAACTCACTAAGCTTTGTGCTTACGGTTTTCAGTTTTGGTTTCAGGTACTTCGTGTCTAAAGGAAAGGAGCTGGCCTGATCGCAGCGCATCACACTATGGTTTTTCGTACATGAGATCTTTGGGATTACACTCTGATATTATTTTATGATAATACTTTTGATTATTTCTACTTTGGTTTTGACATGACATGATATTACGGATGTTTTATTACACTGTTGGTTTTATCATGATGTATTTAAAAATGAAATTTTTGGCCTGTATTTTTGGGATGTTACGAGTTGGTATCAGAGCCTTGGTTTGAGGGATTCGGACATACTCTCGGGTGTGTCTGAACTCAAACTAAGGGTTTGGTATGAAAATTTTGAAAAGTAAAACCATTTTATAAAAAGGAGTTTGAAAGGAATCTGAAAAGAGAAAGGAAATTTGAGAAGAACAAAGTGTGTGATGCGTGCAATCAACCGAGCTCAAGTAAGTTTTCCCCAAGATACCCATACATGCTATGATATGTCATGTTACGATATGGTTATGAGAATTGCATGCTAGATTAGGGCTAAGGATCTAGGAGGATGCCTTATATTCCTATTATATGTGCTTGTAGACTTGCATGCTAGTACTGATCAGTCAGTGATAGGATAGCCTATTTAGGTTATGCTTGATTGTATGAGCCTTTTAATTGCATGTACAGATTCCTGATTAGAGGATAAAATGATTTGATTGGAATCTGATGGTTAGATTTTCCATTATCTGAATGATGCTTGCTTTGTGCTTTGTGAGACTCTTAGTAATGTGAGTTAGCTATTAAGTGAATATGCTAAGTCACATGTGGCACAGGCTAGATAATCTCAGAGTGATAGAATTGACCCTATCGCGCAGCTCTCGTTTGAGTCTAACCGTTATAGGGATGATTCAGTTACTTGAAGGATTATCTGATCTCTGTTGCATGTGGCTATATTCATGAGGTAGCTAGTTTCCATTACTGGGAATCTTTCAGTAGCTGAGGACTGGGTGAGTTCGGGAACCTAGGGAAGCCCAGGATATGTTTCAGTGAGTTAGTAGTGAGGATGATTGAGACTTGGGAGTATCAGTTTGAGGAAGTGACTTAGAGGATTCGGGAGGATTGCTGAGGAAAGTATGGATAGGTGTGGAAGGTAGTATTAGGCCCGTACTACTGGAAGCACAGGATCCATACTCGAATCAGTGAGAGTCTTGGGGAATCTAAGAAGCTTCAGGGAAGAGTTTATGACCCATTTTGGGGACAGAGGATGTTCTAGTTGTTGCAGCTTAGCCATTAGCAAGCGAGCTAGTGAGCATGACAGGGTGTCAGACCCTAAAGGATATGATTTCCAAGAGTTGCAGATGCGGGATCGATTTGGGAGCACCCTGGAAAGAGAGGTGTGTGCCAGGTGCGTATATAAAGGGGTCTCGGGAAGAGACCCATGATTTCTGATCATCAGGTGAAGGGCCAGCAGGGCCAGAGTTAGTACAGCACGTACAAGATAGTGTACATGGGAGTTTGTCACTCCAAGGGTTTAGTCTGCTACGGGGTAGCGGGGTTGGTCATGTCAGCAGAAGGTGATTAGTATTCCTCCAGATGTTGCAGGTATGTCATCTTCTAGTGCTACTAGATGGATGTTGGGGATACGTATCGCGTTGGAGTTATGAATGAGTTGGATAAGTTAGATCTCGGGTCGGTTTCCTGCTAGTGTTTGGGTTATCAAGGATCATATATGTCATCTTGCATGCCGAAAGGTCCTTAATGAACCCACAGAGGGACGCATCTTGCGGAGTGGATTTCGTGCGTACCGTTATCATTCCGGATCCTTGTCGGGATCTATGAAGGAGTATTATTGAGGGGATACTCGATCAAGGTTGGAGTGATTGTTCTACAATGAAGTCAGCGGTCAGGGATTCTATCATTCTTCATGTATGGTCGGTAATTGTTTATGGATGAACTTTGGAGTTTAAGGCAATACTGTTGTTAGGACAAAGTTGGTGGCATGAAAAGGGTATTGTCAGTCGCATGTGTTAGATGCATCGTGTTGGTCATCACATGATCAGGATAATGGTGTTTTCGCATGGGTTGTGTCCGGTTAGAGTTCAGTGGTACTGCAAGATTGGAAATGAGAACGAGGATTCGTCAGCCAGGGTGAAGATTGAGACCTTCAATTGGCAACATGATAGATGGTTCAAGGTGTCAGACTGGATCAGATGTCAAGAGTACTCATCAAGATTTCTGAGGATGTGAGATCTCAAGGTTTAATCGGTGATTAAACGCTAGCATTGGCAGGCACAGGTTGTCATCAGTGGGATATTAGAAAGCGAGAAGGATTGGAAATCCTTCAATTCTTGCGTGCAGTGAAGACTTAGTCGAATCTAAGTGAGGGAGATACTTTTTACAAAGATCTCCAAATGTGAGTTCTGGTTGCACGGGGTGCAATCTCTTGGGCACCTTGTCAATCAGAAGGGTATTCTAGTTGATCCTGCCAAGATAAAGGCTGTGATGCAGTGAGAGATTCCGAGGTCTCCATTTGAGATTCGGAATTTCTTGGGTCTAGCAGGTTACTACCGGAGGTTTACATGGGACTTCTCCGAGATTGAGGTTCCTTTGAACCGACTGACCAAGAAGTTGATGGCCTTTCGTTGAGGGCCTGAATAGCAGGTAGCCTTCAATACTCTCAGATAGCAGTTGTGCGAGGCACTGATTCTCACCTTGCCATAAGGTGTAGCTGATTTTGTGGTTTACTGTGACGCTTTGATCACGGGAATTGGTACGGTACTGATACAGTGGGGTCACACGATAGCAGGTTTCTGGAACCATGTCAGAGTTTCGGTTAGGACTCTAGTTCAGTGATGTGTTAGGTCGAGTGCGTGTCCGACCTGGTATGGAAAGTGTTGTAAGACTACGGGGGTAGCCGTAGCATTCACTAGTAGTCATATGGTATGGAAAGTGTTGTAAGACTACGGGGGTAGCCGTAGCATTCACTAGTAGTCCGATAGTATGGAAAGTGTTGTAAGACTGCAGGGTGTAGCCGCAACGTTCACTAGGTTAGCAGATAAGTGTGAGCGCGTTGTTAGGACGCAGAAGGAACAGTAAGGATAAGGAAATCCACGGATTGGATTTCGGAATTACCCAAATGGATTAGATCTGGTTGAGCTAGTAATAGGACTGTAGGAGCACCACTACAATTGTGAGATCAGAGAAGCAACGGACTGCTTCAGGACATGCGAGATAAGGCTACCATTGGTCAGGTAGCAATCACTTTCAGGCTTGGATTTGAAGATGACAGGATTCGACGTATGGACCCGATCGATTATATTAGAAAGTAGTAGAGTCACAGTGTCATGATAACTAGTGGCAACTAGTTCCAGAGAAGGATTTCGTTCAGAAGTCGTGTGAGGTGACTAAGTAGTGAGTCCTTTGGCTTCGCAGCCGGGTATAAACCCAGTATTTCAGAGGATTGGAAAGAAAATTGAGACCCAGGAGGTCTCAGTAGCCTTTGCTAAGCAGCTATGCAGCAGCATATACTTCTTCAGGCAGTTCAGTGTTCGGGCAGTTTAGTGTTTGGGCAGTATTAGTATTTGTGTTTCAGGTTGCAAGTACTCACAAAATAGCTGGTTTATTGGGGAGTGAAAAGTCACTCACAACAGGAGTATCTGGGCCTTAGCCAGGTACAAG